GATGTTGGTTGGATTGAGCCTACACGATCATATACATTGGAGGATGGAAGGAATACCGAAATAAAACCTTACAATTCAAAGTCAAATTGTACTTCCAAGCTTTATCCGCAACCAATACAAGTGTTATTGAAGATCTCATAGATTGGTATATTAGTTTAGAGTTTATACTTTGTGTGTTGATACTTAGAGCTCAAACTTATACACACTCATTGCTTTTTGTTTCATGGTTTTTATTTTCAAGTTTAAATCGTATAAATATGAAACTACTAGTTATATTCATAAACATATACTCTAGTTTCCTATTTATCGATTTTGTTTTGAATTAATGTGTTTAACTATATAATTATGAAAGAAATGGATATAGGTATATATATACACATATTTGTTTCATATCTATACATGCTTACTATGATTTCATCAAAATAAAGCTTTAACAAAAAATAAAATTATGTTAATTTACTAAATTATGTGTTTATAGATTATAGATTTAACTGCACATTTTTTTATCTGTTAGTAAGTCCATTAATCAATTCAAGATAAATATACAAGTTTGTTTGAAAATTTTCAAAGTGTGTTTAGTTTTTATGTTTTGGACTATTTTGAAAAATAAAGAGTTTTTATAAATGGGAAATGCAATTTAAAAATTTCTTTTTATAACATATTCATTTTCATGTTTATAAACATTTTCCAAAGTTTTATATTTTTTTGAATTTATTTGATATTTTTAATAAAGGTTTAAAGTTGAAATTTACTGCGCATTTTAGGTTTTGTGCACGTTTAAGTCGACTCATAAGTCGACTTATGATATGTTGTGTAGTTTTATATTTTTGTCTGCTGAGTCGACTTATAACTCATACAAGTCGACTCATGAAGACATAAGTCAACTTATACCTATCATAAGTCAACTTATAATATGATTGTTGCACAGTAACGGCTATTTATTAGTTTTTGTTGTTTTTAATGCTTTTAATGCTTTTAATGTTTTTAGTGGTTTTTATTGGTTTCTTGGGCTGGGTTCTTCTACCCTATATATACCCGTTTACCATAACTATTTCCTACAATTAAGAAAAGTTTTAAAGAGAGTTTACAAGTTTGTTCAAGGGTATTTAAAGTTTTTGTTTCAAGTTTGGTTTATGTGAAGAAGTTTTCAAAAGAGGAAGAAGAGATCATCATTTTATGTTTTGGGCTTTCATCTCATCTCTCTCACTCTTGTTTTTCATCGGAGAAGTTTTCTAAACTCAATCTCTAGCTATTTATATGTTTAATTATCATTTCCATAAGCTAGACTTTAATTGAGTTTATATTTTATTTTCACTCATTGTTTACACACACCCACTTGAGCTTAAGTATTTCATACATAATATAATTAGGATTATGAGTTTATAACATTGGGCGTGGGCTTACATTGAGTTCTCATATATTATAGAGAATAAATATTTTTCTTGTGCTTAATTGTAAAATCACTTTGTAATACATAAGTGCACCGAGAAGAGTGTGTGGTGAGAGACGTGGTCGATACCAAGAGGAGTGATGTTGGTAGTAAAACCTAGAAAGAGGTTGCAAATCTAAGCACTTAAGGGAGGCGACACATGAGAGGCCAACACTTGAGGTTGTAGTGTGTGATTACATTGTGAGTGATTGTGAGAGTTTTCAGTGAGCTAGAAAACCGAGATTGTAAGGTGTAAACGTTTTCGATTAGCGTTGAAAACTAGTTATGATAGTGGAGATTCTCCTTGTGAGTGAAGAGCGGAGACGTAGGTCTGAAGGAACGAACTTCGTGATTATTTTCTTGTGTTTGCATTAGTTATTTGCCTACTATCTTGTTTATATTATTTCATGTCGATTTCACCCTTGTGTTAATTACATATTCTTACACATATAAGTTGTTGAATATCATACTTTCTAGGACATTTGTTAATAAGATTTTAATTGGTATTAATATCGGATTAGATTAGCATATTACCCTATTCACCCCCAGGGTAATTTCATACAACACACATAATTGTCAATACACAATACACTCCTCTAAGTGTTGGTCTAGCCCGTGTCACCTTCCTCAAGTGCTTGGAATTACAATCTCTCCCTAGGATTTATAACCGACACCACTCCTCTTGGAATTGACCTCGTCTCTCACCAACCACTCCTCTAAGTGTCCTTGTGTATTATAATGTGTTCTCTCAACAATAAAGCTCAAATACAATGGATTTGTTCTCTAATAAGAATGAGAACAAAATTAAGCTCACACTCAATATATCACTCACCACAACCCAATTTATACTTAATGTGAAATGCTAAAAGCTCAATAGGTTGTGTGTGCAATCAATGAGTAAAATGAAATATAAACTCAATTAAAAATCTAGCTTATATAAATGATGAACAAATATAATTGCTAGAGATTAAGTTTAGAAAAACTTTTCTGAAAGCAAGAGAGATGGAGATATGAAATTGAAGCTCAAACCAAAATAATCTCCTCTTCTTGTGAAACTCTCTTCACATAAACAATACACTTAAAAAACTTTTAAATAAACTTGCAGAAACTTGTTTTAAACTTTTCTTAGATGTATAAAAGTGTTGAGGGCTGAGGGGTATTTATATGTTCTCGAACAACAGCCCAAAATCCAAAAAATAGACAAAAACCCCAAAAATCGGTTCTGGAAAAACTAGCCGTTGGCTGCAACGGACACAATGTCGGTCGACCAGTGGTCAATGGTTGGTCGATCGAAGGGTGTCAATCGATCAACCGATACAAGTATGTCGGTCAACCGAAAAACCCTGAGAACAAATGCTGAAAAACCTATCTCTGGTTGATCGACTGGAGCCATGTGTTTGGTCGATCGAAACTGATACATGGGATTTTTCAAAACATTGATTTACAGAAATTGATTTTGAAACTCCATTTAAAAATATCAAATAGACTCCAAAAATGGTAAAATATTAGGAAATGTTTATAAACATGAAAACAAACATGTTAATTTGAGAGGAAATTTTTAAATTTTAATTTTCCGTTTGTGAAAAGTCGTCATATTACAAATTTGTTAAAAAATACGAAATCATCAAACACTTGATTTTGACAAAATGACTTCAAACAAGTTTGAAACTACTTTTAACTAGATTAATGGACTTTATAAAAGATATACAATAGTTATATTTAGTCATTAATCTATAACACAATATTTTGCAAATTGGTAAAACATACGAACTTGTTAAAACTTGATTTTGACAAATTTATTCCAAACAAGTTTTAAGACACTTTCCAATAGGTTTATAGACTTGAGAAAAGATATAAGATCGTGTCGTTAAGTCTATAATCCAAAACGACGATAAATCAAAACTCTGTGTGTGTATGAATTTTGAGCTTTAAGTATAAACACACAAAGTATAAACCTAAACTACAATACCAAGCAATGATCTTCAATTTAGCTTGCCTTGGTTGCGGATGAAGCTTGAACTTATACTTGACTTGAAATGCAAAGCTTCATTCTGATATTCCTTCTATTCTCCAATGAATATGATCGTGTAAGCGCAAGTCCATCCAACCTCCAACTGAGGATCTTTGTGTAGGATTCCTAACAAGTAAATACAAACATTCGACAAACTATGTTAGAAATTATTTGTTAATTATCAAAACTAGATTAGATAGTAGGCTCATAAACATGAGACCTAACATAGGGATTATAGAGCACACTAGCAACACAAAAGAAGAGAGTGCAAGTAATAAGAGAACACACAATATTTTCTTATGTGGTTCACATAAACATGTCAGTCTCAATGGATTTTCATAAAGGATCAAAATTTTTACAAACCAATACAAAGTTTTGAATGGCACAAATTTGTAAACCATTATTCATCATAAGTCATTCAAAGGACCCGAGCAGTCGTCCCCTTACCAAGAGGATGTCATCACTTTTGCATCACCATCAACCCACAGTCGACCAGGAAAGATAACAAAGAACTTAGAAAATTTAGATTAATGACCTGAACCTTGGATGTGAGCGTCAGCAACTCAAAAACAACACTATGAAGTTTTAAGTTGATCATATAATGTTTTTCCCTCAATCAAGGATTATACTTACTATTTGTCTAGAAAATTAGATTGCTCACTCCATACTTCTCTTTGGTCTTCACTCTACATCTTTTTGTTATCTTTGTTACATCTTTCAACCCGCTATAGGCCTTTTATATCGACTTTCCTTCGGGCAATTTTCAATGGCAAATCAATGTGCATAGTTACTTTTGGCAATTTTGAAGAGCAACCTTAAAACTTTCCAATGCATTCATCCCTAAAGCTACCATGATCAGCATCATGCATTCTTTCTTTTTTCTTAGATTTAGGAAAACCTAATGACACTACAAGAAATTACATCTTTAAGAAAGGGATTTCCCTTTGTTAAAGAGCTAAAAACATTCGTTATTGTATGCTAACGACGGGAAAAAATCCCTTCGTTGCCCGTTGTTGAAGCCATCTTCGCTAAAGGGTCACGAAGGGATATACTACCCGTCGTTATAGAGTCTATAATGACGGAACATATTACCGTCGTTAATATTTATGACGGTAATTATCACAGTCATTACTATCAGTGACAGATATATTTTCCCGTCGTTACCATCAGTGACGGGATATTTTTCCCATCGTTACCATTAGTAATGGGGATATTTTCCCGTCGTTACCATTAGTTACGGTGATATTTTTTCGTCGTTGAAGACTAATTAATGACGGTTGGATACCGTCATAAAAGTCCTCATAATGGGTAATTAGTAACCCATTAAAGATGGTGATTTCCCTTCATTGATGAACAAAATACGGTTTATAAAACCGTCATTATAGACTACAAATTTCTAATATACATTAATGAACAAAATACGGTTTATAAAACCGTCATTATAGACTACAAATTTCTAATATACATTAATAATAATTTTGCCATTCATAGGAAACTATCATATTATTCTCAACCTGACACTAAGATTCACAACACAAATATATTAAAAATACCCAATAATGAATAAAAGGGAAAATAAAAATTTCATTCATTAATAACATCAATAAATAAAATTTCACCATCCTCAAATATTCAATACTAATAACAAGAGTTAATATCCTAATTGTTCCAAAGAAAAATACATGAAACTATTTATAACAAATTAAAATAAAAGTTTGGGGAAGACACATTCTTTCATCTCTAATCATCATCAAAAGAAGACTCGAGCTACCCCACCTCTCCTAATCTTGAGTGGATAGCCTGAAATTTTTTTAAAAAATCACATAATTAAGAAATATCAATTAAGCAAATATTATCTTATTAAGTAAAATTCATATTTTTTTAGTGCAAGTAGTCAATCATAAAAGTATATAAGAGATTTTACAAAAAATAATTACCTAGTCATGCACATGTTCTCGAGTTTGAGGAGTCGATGAAGGTGATTGCCTAAAAAAAAGTTCTTGCATAGCTTTCACTTGTGACTCCAACTCAGACATTATTTGTTGTTGTTGCTCCTGCTCATCTAAGCATTGTTGAAACATCTGGTTCTTTTTCTTTTCTTCTATAACTCATGCTTCCAGATCAGATCGATTAGGGAGCGGTCATCTCAAATCTTTCAAAGTAGTCCCGCCACCACATACAATGATGTGACCATGAGATTGTTTCCCCCAGATTTTCTCAACTATCTCAATATCTGAAAGTGAAGGGTTTGCTTATTACCAGTCTTCACTAAAGAGAACAAATTATCTGCCTTAACTGAGAAAATTAAAGTTGAATCACCACACTAGTTCTGCAAAGCATCAAATGATTAAAATAAGCACATAACAGCATCTAACATCTCAGTAACCTGAACACGTGCATGCTCATTTGTTAGCTTTACTACATAAAGACCGTCCAAAGCATAAAATGTGGCACTGAGAAAAATAGCAGTCAACATGTAACATGTACCATTTTCCCCACACCAGGTGATCCAACAAAAATGATTTTGTCAACTGACGAAACAAGAGCTTGTCCTGTTTCCGCAAACCTGCCAATAAAAATAGTAAAAGAAAATATAATGATCCTTAACCAATTAAAGTTACTAAAATACAGTGAATGGAACAAAAATCAGAATGCCGTAACACACACCCTGTTATCACATGAACCAGGTTGTCTGGGGCTCCAACAACAGCCAAAGCAGCTTGAATAATCTTAAATAAAAGCATCCTGACCAACTAGCATGCTCTGAGACCCATAAAAACTGAACTTTAAAGAAATTCACCGCAACAACTAAACAAATCCATATCTCTTGTAGGACCTTGCAGCTTCTATTTTGTTGTCGAATAACACAAGGTATATGTACCTGCATGCAAGCATCAGGTTCTCATCGGTAAACTTGGGCTTTCCAAAACTTTCTCTTTTAGCCTCACTCACCATTCCCATGAGGCCACTCTACATAACTCACCCTTACTCTCGTGTGATTCACACACAATACAGACAATATGATAAAGAAGTAAGATATTGAATCGATTCTACAAATTCCCAAGAAAAAAGTAAAGGAGAGAGATTCATACTTATTGCCAAGGAATTGGCCCATCCGAGCCTCCCATCGCCCACATTTATGAAGAGTAACCCCTCGGTATTTTGAGCTTCCTATTGAAAACCTAGTGCTATGTCGACGAAGTATGTGAACAAATTCCTCCTTGGTCAAGTTCTTCATCTGAAACAAATTCAACCATAGTCAATATACCCAACAAGCAAGTTCCCTCCCATTCAAACAGCAAACAACCTAGCACTTAGATTGAAGTTGCTATCAGCATCAACTCCTCAAAACTTTATTGCAGCACGATCATATGCCATGAACAAAAAAAAGAACCTTGCAGCAGCGTGAGCAGTGTCAAATCCTCTTGAAAAACACAAACATAAATTAAATTGAACGAATTAGAGCAAATACAAGTGCTCCAATCCTCACTTAATGCGTCAAATCCTCACCTAAATAGACCTTCTTGCCACAGTTTCTGAGCCAAACAACAGGAATATCACTACATAAAAGACCTTTGGCAAATGGCTGAGATGTGATATGTGATTTTCTAGTGGATGGCTGCTCACTCCGCCAAATCATTTTGGAAAATGATGTCAGGGTTGAAAATGTTGCAGGCAAAACCTTTGACAGCTCACTCCGCCAAATCATTTTGGAAAATGATGTCAGGGTTGAAAATGTTGCAGGCAAAACCTTTGACAAAATAGTTCCAACCAAGGATCTACTCATGTCTACTAACAACATACATTAACCCGAGTGTGTTTTCATAATAATTTCTGTATATACAGAAATTAGCTCTTTCAAACCTATATACGTTATCAGTGGCCATAGAAAGCAATGTTGAACTCACCTTTATACTGAAACAACAACATCATCTCCTATGGTAACTGCACGGTAGTAATGCTGTTTTTACAGCCCAGCAATAAAAGTAGCTGAATTCAATACCAGAATAGCCTTAGAGAGCTTTCACTAAAATCTTCTTTCATAACAATGAGAGCACTGATAACGACGGGGGGAAATCCATATATGAGGAATATCTTGAAAGCTCATGTACCATGGAGTTAAAGGATCTGTGTTTGCTTCTAACAGAGGATATCTTGAAAATATCACTTTGATAATCTGTGTTTGCTTCTAACAGAGGATATCTTGAAAATATCACTTTGATAATACATCTTAGAAGACGACACTCAGTTTATAAACTTCATTAGTCATTAGTATGAAAATATCACTTTGATAATACATCTTAGAAGACGACACTCAGTTTATAAACTTCATTAGTCATTAGTAATTAATCATTAAAAGGGAGAATAATGTACTTTCCCCATTTGAAAAATCGACACGTAATGGGTAAGGTTAGACTGCATTTCAAATAAAAGACGATTTCTATAGAAAATTTAACAAAGTAAAGACGGCCAACACTGTATCAATGATACCATCCATGGTTCTCATGGAAACCTAAAACCAAAAAAGGAAAATGGTGAAAACATCAGTAGTAAATAACTATGCCAACATTTTATATTGAGTGAAGTTTGCCATTACTGCTTAGATATGCAACCAGTGTACATATATCAGTCAGAAAGGCATAATAACATGCCATGTATTTATCATATAGATCATGGACAACAATGCATCATATGTCTTGACTAGATAGATCACAAATCTGATAACTAATGTGAGTCTTAGCATGCAAATGGGGAAAGAAAGCAGTGAAGCCTGATACAAAGTTTATTTAAAGAAATAATTAGAGAAGATACTTAGTTCTCTCTCTTGGATGTTATTTATAATATTATAAATGATAGGTTTAATTGAAATTACAATCCTCGTTCAAATAGCATGAAGGCTATACAAACATTTAGTACACTGGAGGTCAGTAATAAAAGCAAGGCTACATTTTTCTTGAAGAGGCTAGAACACAGGCTAGGGCATTGCTACAATTAACACTAGAACAGCACAATTTCTACCAAAAAACTCAACAAAATCAAATCTTTTTACCTCAAGACAAACAAAAATCTAAGCTTTTAAGCAAAACAAAACAAAACAAAATAAACTAGGGCAATTACCGTTCCATCGAGAAGCAGGAGTGGACTCAAGCACCGCCTCAAGATCATCATTCTAAGTTCAAACCCTCGCCCTAACCCTCGAAATCGGAGGGAACCGGCTGCCCCCTCCCCACGAGCACATTGCGGCCGCTTCCCATACTCTGTAGCGCTCAGCCAACTCTCCCGCCGCCGACGATGACTGCCGGCACCACCGCCTCGCTCGCCATCGATCTAACCTTCGCCCTAACCCTAGTTCTAGAGATTGAGGAGGGAGAGTGTCAGAAGAAGAGAGCGGCGGCGGTGGCGAGAGAGGAATCAAAGCTCGGAGAGACGAATCGCAGAGAGAGGTTTGGGTTTGGATTTGGATTCTTTTTACTATTTTGATTAAATACTCCTATTATGATTAGGGGACCTATTAATGAAGGTAAAATACTCCTTCTTCTTTCAAGAGACCCAATAACGACAGTATTAGAATTAAATCAACAAAGAGATTAGAAAACCGCTATCCTATCTCACATGATTTCTCTAATAATTGTAATAACTCGATGAAGGGCTTTAAAACCGTCGTTATTTTACACACATTAATGATGATTAACTACTCCCTTCGTTAATTTTGGTTGTTAAATACCCGATTTCTTGTAGTGTGACTTTGTTGGCTAATATTTGGTTAATAATAGAGGATGATTTGTCCATCTCCTCTCAAGTCTTATTATTAGTATCATAAATACAAAATAATTTGACTCTAACCAATATGTGACCAAACTAAATATAGGAAACTAATTAAATACATAAAAGATTCACAACACTCCCTCTCAAGTTGAGCATATAAATCATGCATGCCCAACTTATCACAAATAAAGTTCACTCTTACTCTTCCAAGATGTTTTGTAAGAATATTTGCAAGCTGATGCTCAAAAGGGATATGTTTGGTTCTAATAATCTCTTTCTCCATCTTCTCACGAATCAAATGGAAATCAATCTCTATATGTTTTGTATTCTCATGAAACACTGGATTCCCAGCTATGTGAATATTAGCATTGTTGTCTCCATACAAGCTCATTGGACATTTAGGAGGAAAACCAATTTCTATCAATATATCTCTAGCCGAGATAAGCTCAATATTAGATTAATAATGGCTTGATATTCAGACTTAGCTACAAATCGAGAAACTACACTTTGCTTCTTGCTCTTTTAAGAAACTAGATTTCCTCTAAAAAATACAATATCCTATGGTCGATCTTTTGTCTACTAGAGATTTTGTATAATCTATATCCGATAAATCTATAACTCATGTGTCCACCATCTGAATAGAGAACTCCCTTGCCCAGACTTTTCTTAAGATATCTAACAATCCTCTTCACAACCTCCTATGTGGTATCATGGATGCTAATAGAAACTAACTAGCTACATTAATAAAGAATACAATATCTTGTCTAGTAATTGTCAAGTAGTTTAGCTTTCCTACCAATCACATATATTTCTCAACATCTTCCAATGACTCCCTCTAATCTGGTAGAAATTTGATCTTGTTATTTGTAGGTGAGTTAATACACATGCATTCTGATTTCCCAACATTTGTCAACATGTGAAGCACATATTTTCTCTGAGATAAGAGGATTTCTTTCTTTGATCTAACAACTTTTATACCCTAAAAATATTATAGGGACCCAAGATCTTTGGTCTGAAACTGCTGTTGTAGATATTTCTTCAAGTCTCTTATGTATTGTACATCATCTCTAGTGATCACAATGTCATCAACATATAAAACTAGAAGGGTCCGTTTTCCACCATGAAACCTCTAGAAAATTGAGTGGTCTTTCCAAGTTTGATGAAGACCAACCTGCTAAAATATTTTTACCAAACATCCAAAACTAAGCT